TTCACAATCATGTCAGAAAAGCAAGGGACATCTTACATAGTGGCAGACTAGAGAGAGCTTGCACAGGGGAATTCTCCCTTATAAAACCATCATATCTAATGAGACTCACTCTCATGAGAACAGCATGAGAAAGACCTGCCCCAATGATTCAATTACCTCTCACTGGGTCCTCCCAATGACACGTGAGAATTGTGGGTCTACAATTCAAGATGAGATTTGCATGGGGACACAGACAAACCACATTAATAAACTTCCTAAATTCACTGAGACCTGCCTCAGATATTTGTTGTTTACCCTACTAATGTACAGCCTTCAGAGTTACAAGGCCTGTGTCAGTTTTCCAGGATTGTTTCTCCTTTTTGTTGTTTGTTATTCCCTCCTTTATTTTTTATGTTTTACTTCTCTTTTTCTCCCACTGTTTTCTTATTAATCACATGTGAGACTCCCAACATTTGAAAGATAAGTAACAATGAGCTGTACTAACAACATGGGATCTGTTAAGGAATAATTCATCCTACCCATGAAAGATAAAACAAAACAGCAGACCAGCAACTCATTGGCTTGTAAAATGCTTCCTCTGAAAGATTTTGAAAGGGAAAAAGTGGGGAAATATGGAAGGAAAATAAAAACTTGTGATCTCAATTCATTATATCATGAGGGGGAAACAACCTAAAGGATGATTCATGCAAGAAACTGATTTTCCTTTCATTCCTTAGAAAACAGCTAGAAATGAAAATTTAAATATTTTCACAGATAGTTACAATTTGTTTGTCGTTGAAATATGTAGTGCAGGAGAACCATTTGATTTTCTATTTCCCTATATGCTTTTTTTTCATTACAACATGTAAATGTTCATATAATCCCCTATTCCCCTCTTTCCAGCTTTTTCCCTTTATATATTGAAAGCCCTAAAAATCGTCTTTGGGGAGCAGCACTGAACACACAGTTTTTGTGATTACTTTTGTTTTTCTCCCAGGCATGCCGTGAGTTTGGCAAAATTAATTTTAATTTGATTGACATCTCTCTCAGAAACCTTTGGTTTACACTAGGAAAAATTCAAAATCAGGAGCCAATTACTGTAAAACTCAGCCATACAACTGTGTGTGTATATGTGCGTGTGTGTGTGTGTGTACATGTGTGTTTTAATTTTCGTGAGCTTTGGGCCATGTAGTTCTCTCTGTGGAGATACCATTTGGTGTGATTTTGAATAGAGAATTCTAAAATAAATAAGAGGCTCCTAAGAATCCTCTTAAAGTTTCTGGACTTTCATTGTCAATGCATCTGACAGTCCCAGGAAAGAGACTCTCTAGTGGTTTCATAGAATCTGTGCTTGGGCTGTCACTGCAGTTTACTGGGTATAGTAATGACAAGTCACTGTTTCAAGAGACAATTTTAAAATCATTAGATGCTGCTGAAAGAGCATTGCGAACAGGGGACAGCCCCTTCACTCTGGGAGAGCGACACTGGGAGAATATGCTCTGTGAGCCCAAACAGCACCTTCCCCTGCAGGGTGAGGGCAGGGCTGCAGGGCAGGCCGAGAACCCACTCAACACAGATGTCAGCCCTGGAGCTGCTGCAGAGGAGTCTGAGGAGTAAATTTTTCCAGCACCTGAATTACACTTATTTCAGAACAAAAATGCTATTAAAACGTTAAAATAAGTAATGTCCAGGCAAAGTAGCTTACACGTCTAATCTGAGAAATTTAAGAGGCTGAGGTGGGAAGATTATGTGAACCCAGGAGATTGAGATCATCCTGTGAAAAATAGTGAGGCTTCATCTTTATTTTTGAAAATTAAAATAAAACAAAACATAAATAATTCAGCAAAAACTGCGATGTGTCTTTCCATATCCCATCATACTTGGAATATTTACCTAACACAATGAGTTGATGAGGATCCAGTTTGAAGGGAGAAAATTTTAGAATTTTCAGAAATCTTAATAGTTGGAAGATGTAGAAGAAATAGAAGTTTGTCAACTCAATGTGTGCAAATATTGAGAGACACACTCATGCCAGGAGTTCAACTTGCAAAGGGCAAAACCGAAAAACGTTTGAGGTTGTTAATGTTCCATCTGAAGGTGCGAGCATTTTGAGGATTATGTCCTGTGAGAGTTTGTTTCTCTGTTAGAGGAGTTCTGTATCCATGAAGTTCTGGACATGCCAGGGACAAATATCAGTAAACAAACATCAGAACTTGAACCTCAGCTTCCCACTGTTACATTCTCCATGTGTCATCTCTCTGTTATTTCTCATGCTAGATCAGGTCTTTAGCTATGAAATATTCTGCCTAATTAACATGTAAATAGCTTGACGTCTACAGAGTTAAATACCTATAGGGTTTTCTCCTGTTTTTCCCAGTTGTTCCCTCCCACAGCTCCAATATTCTCCACTGTTTTCATCACCTTCTAGATCTGCTGCCATGCCCTGCAGATTAAGGATTTGATTCCACAACAGAGAGGAGGTGAATTTCGACGGAACTTTGGTGAGAACCTCGGTTTTTATCCCATTTCCTCTAGGGCTCCACCAGTACCTCTGGGGTGATCCCCTGCAGGGTGAATCCTTAGTTCTGTAGTGCTGATGGGGGGGTGGGTCTGAATGCAGTTCAGAAGTATGGGCTTACCTTCTCTCTCAGACAGACACTTTGGGAAAGGAGGACTTTTCTGACTGTCCCCATTCCATGACAAAGGGATTCGATTGGATAGGAATGCTGACAAAAGAAAACCTAAGCCAAATTAAGTTTAAAGGAGTTTAATTGAGCAATGCATGATTCGTGAATTAGGCAGCCACCAGAGTTACAGCACATTCACAGAGTCTTCAGGGCAGCCACGTGGTGGAGAAAGATTTATAGATTTTTGAAAATGATGTCGAGACATCAGAAGTGAGGAACAGAAACAGCTGGGTTGGTTACAGGATGATGTTTGTCTCATTTAAACAGTTTGCACACTCGAGAGTGTATGAGTGGTTGAGCTGTGACTGCTGGAATTGGCCAAGTCTCAGCTATAGTTACAGGTGCACACTCCTAAGTTAGGTTTTCAATCTTGTCCACCTATTCAGGTAGGTTACAGTTTGTTCACAAGGAATAATAAGAAATAAATAAGAGGCTCCCAACACATGTTTGTAGCTTTATCTTGTAAGAGGCTACATTTCATATGGCAGCCTCGGCCTCAGTTTACCTGACACTATGGCTTTGTTTGTCTCTACAAGAACTTGTTTCTCCCAAGGTTTCCTTGATTGTGAAAGGAAAATAAATCTTTGGGTGCCCCATATCACTAAGCCAAAGGGAAAAGTCAAGCTAAAAATGGTTTGGAGCAAACCCACCTCCCATTCTTTCCCTAAAATGACAGGTGCTCACGTTTTTAAAAGCTACACACCTCCTTCAAAATTTGACCACAAGGAAAATCCTTGTGGACCAAGGACAGACAGAGTGTTTTTTCTGCTCACGTAAGTCAAATGCGCATCTGATTGCTCCCTTTGCTCTATTGTTTCGCTAAGCCAGACTAAGCTTTATGTGACTATTCCTGTAAATTGTACATTCAGTTAAAGGCTAATCAAAAACTCAAAAGAATACAATCATTTGTCTCATACCTACCTATGACCTAGAAACTCTCCCCCCAACTTCAGTTTGTCCTGCCTTTTTGAACTAAATCAACATATATCGTACATGTATTAATTAATGTCTCATGTCTCCCTAAATTGTATAAAACCAAGCTGTGCCCCACAACCTTGGGCACATATGTCAGGACTCCCCGAGGCTGTGTCACAGGCATGTCCTTAATCCTGGAAAAATGAACTTCCTAAATCTATTGAGATTAGTCTCAGATACTCCTTGGTTTACAGGTTCATTTCTTATCTCATAACTTCAGTTATCTGAAATATTAAAGAAAAGTTGCCAAATAGGGCATTCTTCTGTTTATCTGTTATTGTTGTTGCAAAAATAAATATATTTATAAAATTTATATATAATTTATCATTTTTGTACATTACCAAATTGAGTAGCAGATTTATTAGTAAGACCCAGTGTAATGAAAAAATCAAATATCAATTAGTATCTTAATAGAAAAACAAACTATGCTACATTTGTTTGCTGAAATGCTCCCCATTATTTATGAAAAATAAACACATACAGCATAAAATGGTTTAATTCTTAGTATTTCTATTGATAAAAATAAGCCAAATATATGAGTATATACTATATTATTTTATTCTTATAAATTATAGAAAATAAAAACTAGTCCAAAGAAATGTGAAAACATCAGTAGTTTTATAAAGAAATGGTAGAAAAAGGGAAGGAGAATAATAAAAATAAATAAAAGATCAAGAGGAATGCTGAGGGGAGTTGACTTGTCATCTTGAAAACAGATTTTTTTTTCAAAGATTACTATTGCACAGGTTAAATATGTGAATTTTATCATCTGTCAATTCAAACTCGTAAAATTTATTACAAGTAAACAACTGAAACTTTAGACAAAAGAGGGATGATAGGAAGGAACAAGTAGATTTGTTAAGTGTCAGATACACCAAAAATTTATCTGTGTGACCACTAGATATCTCTGTAGTTTTGGTAAATGCAGCAACTCTGTCCAAGAGTTGGTTCAGAGAGCAATTGAGGCCAGCTGTGAGGAGCATAGGCCCAGATACTAGGACTCACTGATGCCAGATGTAAGCCCTTAGACACATACCTAGACCCTCCATGTGTGGGTTCACTTTTACATCTGTAAATAAAGAATGCACTGATTCCTAAATAACATAATTTATACACATAGGTAAAAATAACAAAAAGTATGATAGTTGTTAAATGTTTACACAGAACAATATCACAATAAGACAGATTTTTCCCAAATGCAATCATTGCCATAAAAATCCCACAGGATGCTCTCATCTGCTCTGGGACCTGCCCTCTCCTCAGGTGTCCAGCCCCAGAGCTTGCTATATAGTAGGAGATATGCAAATAGGTCCCTCCCTCTGCTGATGAAAACCAGCCCAGCCCTGACCCTGCAGCTCTGGGAGAGGAGCCCCAGCCTTGGGATTCCCAGGTGTTTTCATTCAGTGATTAGGACTGAACACACAGGACTCACCATGGAGTTTGTGCTGAGCTGGGTTTTCCTTGTTGCCATATTAGAAGGTGATTCATGGAGAACTAGAGATATTGAGTGTGAGTGGACGTGAATGACAGAAACAGTGAATATATGTGGCAATTTCTGATCATGGTGTCTCTGTGTTTGCAGGTGTCCAGTGTGAGGTGCAACTGGTGGAGTCTGGGGGAGGCTTGGTACAGCCTGGCGGGTCCCTAAGACTGTCCTGTGCAGCCTCTGGATTTACCTTCAGTAGCTATGCTATGCAGTGGGTTCACCAGGCTCCAGGGAAGGGTCTGGAGTGGGTATCAGCTATTGGTCCTGGTGGTGACACATACTATGCAGACGCCGTGAAGGGCAGATTCACCATCTCCAGAGACAACGCCAAGAACTCCTTGTATCTTCAAATGAACAGCCTGAGAGCCGAGGACACGGCTGTCTATTACTGTGCGAGAGACACAGTGAGGGGAAATCAATGTGAGCCCAGACGCAAACCTCCCTGCACGGATGCTGGAGGAAGTAAGCTGCAGGGGGCGCTCAGGGGTCACTGATTAGCACCAACCCCAGAGGCAGGTGCACACTGAGGCTGATTTCCTGTCAGGATGTGGGACTTCATCTTTTTACCGTTTCTCTAGGGAATCTCTTTAAGTTCAGAATTCTGTGCTTACCAGTGTCATCTCTACATATTTTTAAATGATTATTTTAATATGAGAACCTATTCCCATACGCACAAAATGCAGATTGATGCTTACAGAGATGAAAAGTCCTCAACCATGGTCACCAGGATCAGAATCCTGAGGAATCTCAGGGGTGCCTGGTGAATCTTCTCCAATCAGACTCAGGACAGAAACCTCTCTGACTAAAACAGTCTTTAGGAATTTTGATCACAGCCAATAGAGAGTCTAGATCATGGTCAGTGTCATGTAGAACCTCATAGGTTTCACGTCTGACCCTTTTCCTGACGCTAAAGTATGCAAATCAGTATCAGCACTGCTCTGGAGCCCCTTTTGCTCTTAGTCCATTCTATTTCTTTTTATTTGTTGTTGTTGTTCTTGCTTTTCCTTGTACTGTTCCTGCTGCCTATAAAGTGGGGATGTAGTTCATGCTGTCAAAGCTGAAGGCCTCAAGTCCATTCCCTGCAGCTCAGGTGTGGCTCAGGCTGTGGCTCCTGCGTCCACGTGGGAGAGGCTGATGGGACTTTCTTCTCTCCCGTTGCTCAGCACCCTGCAGTGTGTTGTGTGGAGACTCACCTGGGAATGCAAGTGGCCAAGAGTAGTGAAGGGGATGAGCTTGTGTGGACAAAATGGGATGTGGATGTGAAATTTATCCTGTCCTGTGCAAACTACCACAGAGTCACCTTCCTCACCAGTAGTATTAGAAAGAGTGTGTGAACGTTTTCAAAATAAAAATGGAGCCACTCATGTTAACGCCCTGAAAAATGGAACTAGGAATGATCATGAAGGAAGTTTCTCATACACATACTCCTGATAACAAGAACTACCACAAATGGATTCTGCTTAACCACAACCTTGGGTAGAAGTCACTACAACCTTACAAAAAATCACGACTACAAGGACATCTTCCCAGCAGATCACTGTTTAACCCTATACTGATGACAACCTTGGTATTGATTTTACAAGCACGGGAAAACCCTCTCAAAACAACTTATGTAACTCACCTCATTTTCACTTCAGAAACCTGTGGATTCACATCCTAGTCACTGCTGCCTTTGTTTTTAATGGTAATTAGCCCCTTTACAATATATGAGGCTGTTTTTCTCTGATGTCTCTGCTAAAACAAAGAATTTCCAAGTTGACAGCAGTAAAGAAGCTATTTAGGAAGATGTGATGGGAAGGCATTTTTAACATCCTGTTGAATGTTTCCGCATACCACGTTAATCCCCTGTAATACTTTGCTGTATCGGCCTGTGATGAATCAGAGTATAATATTGAAGGTAAAATGGAAAACATGTGGGCTTTTGATGAATCAAGTCATAGGGTGATAATGTGTGTGTCCTTGAGGAAGGAGACCATGGGTTGTAAGTTCTAGTGGGGGTACCTTTGGCAAAGGGAGTTCCTGAGTTTGTGAACATTATGCTACTTGTAATTTAAGGTTGCAATTTATGATTTATTTTTACTTAAAACTTTCCAGAAGATATTTGGCAGTAAGGACAGGGTCGCAATTGTGTAATAGTGATGACTTAGAGAGTTATTTTGCAATTGTTCCTGTAAGGTATGCACATTGCTCACTTGATACAGAAGTTCAAATGTCACAGGTGGGAAACCAGAAATACAGCAAATTTTCTGAACTGTCATGGGTGTAGTTTTTGGCAAGGAAGTGTTTCATGTCAATCTGAAAATAAACAGACAGCAATAAATCATATTCAAGTCCACGGGGAGTCTGACCTCTGTCCCTCTCTCTTATAAGTACAAGGCTTTGCCACATCCAAAGTATTCTTTAGGCTCCAGGGTATGAAATGCTTTTGGACTGTGGAAGCTAACAGCTCTCCCCTCAAGCAGGGCTGAGGTATCTGGGGAATGCAGAGTTGTGTTCATGAAGAAGATGGCATTATTGTATCTTCTCCTGTGCCTAGTGACAGCTCCCCAGCGTGAGTGTCTCAGATGTCAGACATGGGTCTATGTGGTGAGTGCAGGTACATGTGACTGACAGGGATGGATTCTCCATGTACTCACATGCCCTGTCCCAGGAGCAGCTGCAGGAGTCAGCCCTGGACATGAAGACCTCACATTGATGCTCAGCCTCACCTGCACTCTTTCTGGCCACTCCATCACAACCAGTCCTTACTACTGGACCTGGATCTGCTAGTTCTCAGGGAGGGGCTGCATTGGATAAAATACATTGCTAGTAGTGGTGGGAATCCATCTGTCTTGTGGAAAATGGCAGCATTTCCTTATTTTATAAAGCATAATAATGTTACATTGTGTACAAATACCACAATGTCTTTATCCATTTGTCCATCGACGGACACTTAGTTTTCATATCTTGGCTGTTGTGAATAGCACTGCAATAAGCATAGGAGAGCAGGTATCTTCACAAGGTGGTAATTTCATCTCCTTTGGGTATATTTCCATAAGATGCATCACTGGTCATACGGTATTTTTGTTTTAATTTATTTAGAAGCCACCACACCGTTTGGCATAATGGTAATGGTGAGAATATAGAATGTCATAACCACTATGAAGAGCAGTTTTAGATTTGAGGTATAATCCAAAAACAGATAATGTTTTATCATGGCTCTTCATATGAGGCTCTAATAAATCTAGGGGAAGTCTAGAAAGTTTTCCCACCTTGGCCAAAGATGAGTTTTCCCCTAATTATCTTTGAG